AATGGGGACAAAGTGTGCCTGGCAGTGTCTGCAATGTGGTGAGCGTGTAATATATGACAATACTTTCTTTGCCTTGCTTCTCTGTTTCATTGTTGGTCCTTTCTTATTGACAAGAACCTCCACCTTCTTAGTGGAAACTTCTATTCCGTCATCAACTCTTGTTATTAGTCTACAGATTTGGTTCAAATTGTCCCTCCATCCTCGAGGAAATTTAGATCAATACGACCTTTGTCTAGAATTAATGAAATCTTATCTGAATTGGAATCTCCAACTCCAGACTGCTTTTCTGTTCTCCAATATCACTGTACAGATACAACTGCAAGAGGCACAATCTACAATTGCAGTACAATGGCTTGGAACTCGCTCTGTAGACCAGGCTGGCCTCAAGCTCCCCCTGCCTCTGCCTCCTGAGTTCTGGGATTAAAGGTGTGTGCCACCACAGTCCACACGTAATACTTTTTATAAAGTGCAAAATCTTTGTTGGCACCTGGTGACGTATCGGCATCCTCCATTCTCTCCAGTCTTTCCCTGGCCTGTCTTTTCAGCTGTGGCTCTCTGGCTTCTGATCTTCCTCCTCCTCTGAAATCCTGTCTTTATGGATGCTCTCATCAGCTGCACACACAGTTATCTCATTACACTGTGCTTCTACCTGCACAGACCCTAACGGAGCACAGACCCTGTGAAAGCTTCTATTCCCCGGAGACCTCTCCTCCCCCATGCACATCCTACAGGTTATGTTTGTCCCTCTCAATAGATGATGAGTTTCTGCCAGCCATACTTTTCTGTCAGCTAGCTCATCCTTGGTGCATTAGGATGCAATTAATCTCTCTTAATCTCTCTCTCTCTCTCTCTCTCTCTCTCTCTCTGTGTGTGTGTGTGTGAGTGTGTGTGTGTTGTGTGTGTGTGTGTGTGTGTGTGCTCAAATTTATGGGGGTTCTTCTCTGCAGATACACAGGACAGGAAAGGCACAGGTGATGGGGAAATAACTGATTTTTAAACCCAGGAAAATCACCTTATGATTCTAAGTTATGGTTTGATACACTTGTTTTTCCTGAGGAAAGAAAGATGAAAGACAAACAAAATTACATTTTCTAAGTGTTTTCTGTTATTTATCATAAAATACCGGAAGCTAAATGTAAAAGACAACTATGGTCTGGCAAGATGGCTCAGCAGGTAAAGGCACCTGCTGCCAAGTACGATAACCTGCGTTCAATTCCTGGGCCCCATGTGATGGAAGGAGGAAATGACTCCCACTAATTGTCCTCTGGTTTCTACTGCCCACCATGGCACATGCATGTGAACACACAGCAGACACACAATCCAGACCCACACACCGAGGCTTGAGGATTTGAATCAATCTGTCACCTCCCACACTGAAATGGGGGACATTACTATTCCACCCAGCCTTTGGGACTGTGCCTTGTGCTTATTACCTGTATGACAAGCTGACACAAAAAGAGAAAACTGAACCCTCGGTGCTGTTTGTTTCTGAAACCCCACAATAAGCTCAGTCAACAATGCTCAAGAATACCTTTTCAAAGGCGCATGCCTCTAGCTGTGGGCTCCTCCATGCAGCCTCGCTCTCCTGAGCCACTCGGCATGGAAGGAGCACTCTGAATGAACATGCTATATCATAATGTTTCCTGCCAGCTTCACTTAATTAACCAAGAAGAACGATTTGCGTCTACATGGCCCTCATCCCCAGCAATGTACTTCAAACTCCTACTATAGTTGACTCAAAATCAAAAGCAACAACATGTCTGCAGATATCCATTGACTCAGATGTTTGTGTCAACTATGAACTTGACAGAGTGTAGAATCACCTGGGCAGGAGGTTTATGGGCATGGCTGTAAGGAATTTTGATTAAGTGAAATGGAAAGACCCACCCACAATGGGTGGCGCCATTCCCAGGCTGGGATCCTGGACTATATAGAGAGAGAAAGAGAACTGAGCAGCAAGCATGCATTTGCCTTTCTCTGGTTCCTGATTTTGGATATGACATGACTTGGTGTTTCAGGCTCATGTTACCTTGACTTCCCTGCCATGACAGCTACCCTTAAACAGTGGGCCAGAATGAGCCCTTTCTCCCTTACATTACTCTGGTAGGGTTCGTGATGACAGCAACAGGAAGGAAACTAAGACAGTGACAGATGCCAAAGTGAATTCACATCTGGATTCCAGATGCTTTCCTTTATCGTCTCTTTAACAGGGTTTGAGGGTCTCAGACTGGCCTGGAGCATGGCATGTAGCTCAGTCTGGCCTCATATGTGCAGTGATCCTGCTTCCTCCTATGCACTTCTTATGGTAAGAAACAATGTTATTTAGAAGACCTCCCAGATAAGAAAGCAGTTAGTTGGTGGCTCTTTGCTGGTAGCTTTTCCTGTGCTCTGCTCCTCCATCTCCTAACTGCTCTCTGACAGTTATCCTTCAACATTACATAGCTCAGAGTGACTCAGTTTCAATGGGCTGAAGTGTTGGTCACCTGCCGTTTCTTTTCGACCTTCTCAAGACTATGTCCTTCTTGGCAAGCAATTATCAATGCCTATGTGCCAAGCTCTATGCCAATGGCTGCTTCTCATAATTTCACTCTGACAACCACACTGCTTCCATGGCTTCAGGTTTCTCCCTAAATGCACCTACTACAGCCTGCCAGATCAATTTCTAGAGCTCTGCTTTGCAAACAGCAACTCCACCCATCTACCCACGGGATCAAGACCCTGCTGGTTAGCTCTTTCCCATCCACACCAATAGAGTGTTCCTTCTGCCATATGCACTCTGAAGTTGCACTTCCCAATACACCGTGTGCATGGCCACCTTTGTGAGCTATAGCTCTTTCACTTCCCAAAGACCACTCCATGTTAATCAATTAATTGGGAGCAAATTCCATTGCTTGGGGGGGGAGGAAGTTCCCGACTCCCAGTTTCCATTTAAGGGGAAACTGGCCCAGTCGCCCAGAGGAATCTGAATGCCCCAGGGGTAAGGATGAGAAACAGGACTAACCACATCTGTCCAGAAAGGTCCAACCTTCTAAGGAACTTCAGGCCTTTAAAGTAAAGCATGGCCAGGAGGTGCATTTCTTAGGCAACCTTGTTATGCCCTGGGATGAGACATCCACACAACTCTTCCACTCAGTCATTCAAAACACCGTTTCTGGGCATCACTTATGTCTGAGCCATTGTGAAGAGTGTCTGAGAAACAACAGTAATCAAGATAAGTCCCTGTCTCCGTGGAGATCTCCGCCTGAGAGAAAGAACACATGAATCACTCAAACAAGGATGTGAGAAAAACAAGTAACAAAGTGTGACTTGTTCATAAGAAGAGGAAAAACCCCTTGCCGTGTTCCCCATCTGTTCAGAGGATCTTGCCTCATTCCTCTTCTCTTGGGTACCATGCATATCTCTTAGAGGGGTGGGGAGGAGTGGGAGCTGGGAAGAAGAGAGGGGGAGAAGAAGAAGAGAGAGTAGGTCATGGGGGAACAGGAAGGTTGAGTGGGGGGTAGAATAAGGGAATCATAGGTTAGAAGACAGATCAGGCACCAGTGTGACCTCTAGCGATCTAAAGGGATGACACCAATTGGCAAGCTAAGCAATAGTGGAGAGACCACCCCAAATGCCCATTCCTGATAATGAACTTGATGTCTATAACCATCCTGGAGCCTTCATCCAGTGACTGATGGAAGCAGAGGCAAACACCCACAGTTAAAACTGAACTGAACCCAAGGAACCCAGGGACAGACAGAGAGGAACAATGAGCAAATTGGCAAAGAATGGGCTGGCAAAACCAGCAGAGACAGCTGATCTGAACAGGGGGAGAGCTCTTGGACCCCAGACCGACAGCTGGGAGGCCAGCATAGAACTGATCCAGACCCCCTGAATGTGAGAGTCAGTGAGGAGGCCTGGGCAACCTATGGGGCCCTGAGCAGTGGATCAGTGTTTATCCCTGGCAAACAAATAGACATCATGTGTCCATAACACAAAGAGGGATGCTCTCTCAGCCTGGACTCTTAGGGGAGTGCCTGGACCCTGCCCTGAGTGAAATGACAGACTCTAGATATCCCCTATGTGGAAGGAAATGGCGATAGGGTGGGAGGCTGGGGGGGGGGGGGATGGTGGGGGAGTGCGGGAGGAGGAGAGGGAACTGGGATTGACATGTAAAACAAGCTATCTAAAATGAAAATAATAATAATTTAAAAAGAAAATATATTTGAAACAGAAAAAAAGAAGAGGAATACAGTGCCATGGTGGGGGTGGGGAGCACATGACTGGAGGCAGGAGATGCCATCAGTCGAGGGCCTCTCAAAAGAGACACTGGAGCTGAGACCTAAAGGTGGACAGGGCTTGCCAACACCCACAAACACCTGAGTTCTATCCCTAGCACTGCATAACGCTGGGCATGGTAACATATGCCTATACTCCCACTTAGGATGTGAAAGCAGGAGGATCAGAAATCCTTAGCTACATGGTGAATTCAAGACCAGGCTTGTCTCAAAAAAGACACCACATACTCAAATTCAAAGTAACACTCCAGGCTCTTCAGTAGCAAGTACAGAGGGACTCATACATACATACATACATACACACACACACACACACACACCACAAGCCTACAACAATGTCTCACTGAGTTTTCAGAGCAATTCCTTTATCACCCAGGGATATGCCAGCCCTGCTACTATAGCCAAAAGAGCTTCTTTTCTGAGTATGTAAATACATAAGCTTTTTAGTTTGTCAATATTTCAAGTGACTGAGATTTAAATACTGACTGCAAATCTTTCCACTTTTCTCTGATGGTAGGATTATTAATTTCCAATTCAAATTTACATAGTTTTCTTCAAGTCCTTCAATATCACAATACAGTGATGGTGCACCATTGCTCTGTGTGATACTCATTACTGTGTACATTAGAAATAACCAATTTGAGTTGTGTTTTGTTTGCTTGTTTGTTTTTATAGTTGATACCTAACAGCTCTTAGAAAAAACTGGGAAATACTTTTCCATACCTCGTTGGTTGACTGGATCTTTAGCTACATAGGCGACATAGTCTGTGGTATCCTAGTAAAAAGAGAAACAATTGCATTTAAAAATGAATGAATTGTAACCACTAGAAGATAAGACTTCCTTAAGGCGCAACACTGAGGCAAACTCTTAGTCAGAACTTTCTCTAGGGCAGCGGTTCTCAACCTTCCTAATGCTGTGGCCCTTTAATACAGTTCCTCATGTTGTGGTGACCCCAACCATAAAATTGTTTTTGTTGCTACATCATAACTGTAATTTTTGCTTCTGCTATGAATCATAATGTAAATACTATTTTCCAATGGCCTTAGGTGACCCCAAATGGTGTCACAACCCACAAGTTGAGAACCATTGCTCTGTGACATACGCTTTAAAGTTTAACAACTAAATCTGCATGTAATGACCCTCAAAGGCAGAGTTGTTAAGACTGAAAATTCAGAGGCAGATTGCATCATTAAAAATATGCCGGGCATGGTGGCGGATGCCTTTAATCCCAGCACTTGGGAGGCAGAGGCAGGCACTCTCTGTGAGTTCGAGATCAGCTTGGTCTATAAAAGCTAGTTCCAGGACAGCCTCCAAAGTCACAGAGAAACCTTGCCTAGAAAAAACAAATAAATAAAGTAAAATAAAAGAGAACATAGCTAAGAAACTCTTTAAAAACTGTCTACGAACTGCCTGTCCCTGAGCTGGGTTGAAATGTGCATGGAACTGAACAGTTACAAATATAGCAGAAGCTGGGATGTGGCATTGAGATTGGCCTGTGTCCAACAAACTCATGTGTATCAGAAGATGAGTTGATCAAAGTCCTTTCTTTGGTTGCCGGCTTGTGTGTGTGTGTGTGTGTGTGTGTGTGTGTGTGTGTGTGTGTGTGTGTGTGTGTGTGATGCAAGTTAGCTTACAGAATAATAAAGCAAAAATATAAATTATTTCATCAATAAATGAGGCAAATCGTTTTAAAGCAGAGAACCATGAATAACTTAAGTTCAAAAAGAGATATGCTGCTGACTTTGTGAAAACAATCAAAAAGGTGGTTGGAAATTCCAGCTTTTATTGAAAACAGAAAGCTGATGAATGGTAAGATTTTAATAATTAAAGATGCTTTTGTTATCTTAATTCTCAGAGGGGAAAAATACCTACAATGCCATTTCGGAGTATAAAAATGGTCCCTGGAGGGAAGATGCAGTCTACCGGCAGGAAGTAAAAGCCACGTTGGGAATGCCCTCCAGGATAGCCACTTAACAACCACAATGAATCACGCAGGAAGCAAATTTCAGGGTCAGCAGAACTGTCTTAAGTCATTTTTAAAAATAGCACACATCTAAGTAGATGTCTCAGGCAAAGAGAAAGATGGGTTGAAATGGCTTCTAAGTAAGTAAGGTCCTGTCTATGTGTTTTGCTCGCCTCTCTTAGAAGTCAGGGTCATTACAGACTTGAGACACTCTGAGACCATGCCCAGCCTATTTCATCAACTTCCAAATGATTTCCAACCTTCTAATAGCTTGAAAATTCTATGACTGGAAATATTGCAGAATAGTTACATGGAAAGAACAGATGTCAGGCAATGTCTTTTGCTTTTCACAACTCTGTGCCATGGTTTTGAAATAGAGAAAGCATGATGACTGTAGAAGCATTTACAAGAGATGCTTGAACAGTTACTAGAAAAACAAAAGCTTTTTGAGAAAGAATAAAAGTGAAGGTGATGACAGGTTAAGAAGAAAACTGGAGACAAATTGGTAGGAAGAAAAGATGATGCTGGCCCACATGGGGACTTTTTTCACCCAGCTTCACCTTCCCTGCTCCCAGTTAACTATTTCACTGCAGTAGCTCAATGTTTCCTAACACGAATATGGATACAAATTCTAAAGGCCTCTTTGTGACCACACCCCTGCATGTGCATCATCTCACTTGATTCTTGCAATACTGAGGTGATAGGAATTATCTGTCTTGTAAAGGAAGACCCCAAACCTTAGAAAAGTTAGTACATCAAATATACTTGACTCCAATGCTTAACACTAGCCTACACTGCCTTCCTGATAAGAAGGTAAAATTTCCCTGGCAGGGGGTGTCCTAATGCCAATGCTTAGGATAGAGCCTGATCATCATTTAAAACCCAAGCCAGTGGATTTTCCAATTGCAGAGATAGATGTACAGAGTTTCCCACAGCGAGTGGCTTGATTTTGGCAAGGACTGTGCTTGAATGAATTTAAAGTGTTGAAGCTAAGGGTGAAAAGCCTTACAATTCTGAAGAACGTGGGATGCAGAGTAAATGAGAGTCTGTGCACCAGCCCTAACATGACAGCCACTGTGGAAACTTGAACACGGTAAATTCAAGGCAAACACCAATCATTGTTTTTTTAAGTACATCATAAACAGGAAGCCTCTTTAAAAAGTGCTTGAGTCCCTTCCTGATAAATCTAATAGGCTAGGAGAAGAGAAAGATTCGCTTCTCTCTGTGTGTGTGTCTCTCTCTGTGTCTCTCTCTGTGTCTCTCTCTCGTCTCTCTCTGTCTCTCTCTCTCTCGTCTCTGTCTCTGTCTCTCTCTCTCCTTTCTCCTCTCTGATAGCCCAAATTTTGGTTTCATAGTTGAGGCCAAATATAAAGTTGAATAGATTCGAGTATAAATATACCCCTGGGCACATCATGAAGCAAAAGCCATCCTGCAAGCCCAGTTTGCTAATGGATCTGCAATTAATTAACCACGTATGGAGCCCCTCTCTAAAGACTCTGCTACAGAAATGAAACTGTGAGGAATCAAGGAATGACACTCCGAAAAGTAGTCTTAAAGAGAAACCCTGCACAACATGTGGGAAATGAACACTATATAACATATTGACAGAGAGCACCAGCAAATTCTCCCTCCACAGCTAACCAATGTCTCCACAGGTTTTTGCAAATCTGGATGGTCATTATAGGTAAATTAGGCTTAATGACCTTGGTTGGCAACAGTGATGGTAAATGGGGTTCCCGTCCTGTATCAAATCCAACTGGTGGTCTGCTTAGAATGCTCTTGGGAATGATTCTGGAAGAGGAATGGCAGTGCACATAGGATACACACACCTCTCACAATTTGTTAACAAAAAATAATTAAATGATAACTCAGTGGCTGCCAACAGCACAGAATGCTAGCAGTCCTTCTAGTAAGCCTAAACTTTTAAAATCCAGACATAGGAAACATTTGCCCAAATTGTTTTTGGTTTTGTTTTGTTTTCTACCTGATACATGCAGCATGTAACAAATTGTGATATCTGGAAAAGACATGAAACAGTTAATATTCTGCATATGGGAGTTCTTAGGAGTCACATAAAGATCTTTTATGAATCCATACTTACAGGGTCCCCTCCAGAGGCAAATGAAATCGATTGCATTTGATGCTTTGCAATAATCTAGAAAACAAAAACAGATTAAACACACACAATGCTATAATGCATTTGCTTTGTCTCCACCTGCTTAACATCCCTTTAGAAACCACTCTGCCTGCATTCTAAAATAAACCCTTTTTGTTGTTGCTTTTGGTATAGGGGTTTAAGTCAAAACTGTGTATATTCAAAGTCTTTGTTCTACCACAAATCTATGTACCCAAGCCCTGAATAATCTCATTTAACCCATGGGTTTGACACGCCTTTCCCTCTGCCCTCACCACCTAGACAGACATAGGATCAAGGTTTACCTATCCAATCAGCAAATACCAATCTCCCAATACAGCCAATCAGTGTTTTATGGGAGGATCTGAGATAGATAGTAGGAAAGAGAGCAGCTCTCTTCCACTAAAGACATACTGGCCTAAAGTTTCCAGGAGCCAGCTTTTTCTGTTCTGTGGGCAAAGTCTGCTGTAATATGAATTTTTCTTTCTGGAAAAACTGAAAGCTGAGAGTTAAAAAAATGATGACAACACAGGTTTCATCACTTTAACCAGTATGTCCTCCCTTCCCCCCTTACATTTTTTACTAAATTTCTTTCTACATTTTTTTTACTATATTTACTTTTGTTTTAGTCATTCACTACCATGTATCCAAGCACACTAATATAAGTCTTCTAACACAGGAGCTGGAGAGGCTGCACAGTGTTTCAGGACCCAGGTTCCACTCCCAGGCCCTACATGTTGGCGCACAACCATGTGTAACTCCAGTTCCAGAGGATCCAATGCCCTCTTCTGGACTCATGGAGCACAAAACATGTGCATAGTACACAAAAATATGTATAAGCAAAACACCCACACGCATAAAACTAAGATAAATCTAAAAACAATTTAAAATTTTGAAGATTGCTAATGTGAAGTATGACTAGCCAAATAACCACATTAATTAGCCAAAAATGATTGTTTTATTTGAGATACTAATTTGTTTGCTTGTGTTTGGAAAGTAATACAATACATTAACTAATTTATAGAGGTTAATTATTATAAGGTTCTAAAGGTCATCAAAATACCAACTATTCAATAACTAATGGATTCTGATAGCAGAACTGTAAGGTCACACATATAAAGCAGTCAAGCAAATTTGCTCCCAGATGGACATCCAACAAGAATTGAATACACATTTGAAACAAAATATATTCTCAGGAAATTAAATAACTATTTACAATAGCCCTGAATTAGAAGCAGTCTTGATGGTGACTGTTGTGATATTCAAAGAGTAGACTACTTACAATGTAACAACATATTTGTTAGGTTAAAAATAGTCAAATGCAAAGAATAAATTAATGCTTCAATTAATTTACGAAAATGGCAGAGATTTTATTGCTTAAAGTCTGTTTAGTGGTTATTCATGAGGCACAAGAAAAGGGAATGTGGTTTTCTGGGATCCACAAATGTTTCCTTTTCTTCTGGGTAGTAGATAAACAAATATGTTCAGTTTGTGATAATTAGGCCACACACATTACTTGTGTACTTTTCTGTACTAATATTTCAGTAAGAACAAAATCAACATGCAAAAATCATGTATCAATAATCACTCATCAGAAACTGCATTTAATGGGTAAAAAGGAAGATTTCATACAAATACACACAAGTATAAAACCAGTAAGAATCATGCAATGCTTTGGGGAAAACATCATGAAGGGTATAAAAAATGACCTTTGGCAGAAGAGAAGGCAAAAATTCTGAAACAGTCAGAGGAAAGGAGGGAATGCTATGTATGTTGTTCTCTGGACATAGCAGGGTCATTGCACCTATGAATTCACAGCCTCTTGGTTATCCTCACAGCTCCTGCACGAGATCCAGCCAATCCAAATTCCAGGATTAGTAAGGAAGCCCTCTCAAGGCTGGATGCCTAACTGAGGAGCCCTTAGCAGATGATAGCTCCTGGGAGAAGAAGCATCCATCTTTGGAGGATGGTTACTGGTAGGTTGCCCATGCATCAGTAAATAGCCTCACATTCAAGCACATATGACCAGCACTAAGTGGACTTAGTGGGTCATTAAAAACAAAAACAAAAAAGGATATTAATTTTGGAGGGGATATGATATGACGAGAGGCCTGAGGGGAGCTGGTGGATGGAAATGGTGAGTGAATATGATCATATGTCATTGTATAAATGTATGAAAGTCTCAAAGAATAAAATTTAAAATCTGCTTAAGTAGAAGTGTATATATCACTTTATGAATATGAAGATGATATTATTGTAAAGATGTCAATGATTGTCTCCTGAGCTAATTTACAAATACTCTGAAATTCTACCAGTCATTAGTGTAGCTTTTCAAACTGCTTTTAAAAAGTATGTGGAAGAATGAGTATGAAAAAACAACTAGGGCATTTTTTTAAACAAGTGGACAAGGTTTACCTTGTCAGGTAGCAAGGCATATTACTGAAGTTGGAAAATTCATCTTAATAGTACAAAACGAGACGCAGAAAGTATTTGATTACATAAATACTTTACGTAAAAGCTTTATATATGACTCCTTAAGCATTACAGACTTCAAGAATATATTTGTAAGATGAAAAATAGTATATTCACACATTTTCAAAGGATTCCTACAAATCAGCAAAACAAACATAAAGTTCTGTTACTGTGTTGAAAGAAACCAAATGCCCCCTATACCTACTGAAAGATCATTGTCCTCCAATAAATTAAAGCTATGGGAAGATTATAAAGATACAATCTTAGGGCTGGAGAGCTGGCTCAGCAGTAAACAGCATTGGCTGCTCACACTAAGGACCAGACTTTGGTTCCTAGCACTCGCACTCACAGGGCAGTGCAAAACTGTGACCTCATTTCCAGGAGATCAATATCCTCTTCTGGCCTCTGCAGGTGATGCACACACATGGCGCACGGACATTACACGTACGCAAAATGCCCACACACATAAAAGAGAACAAGCTGATAAAACTAAAGTTAATTTTATTAACTCAATAAAACAACAAGCGGCAAGGGCGTGGATATTCTCAAACACTGCAGGTTAAGTTTGTAGAGCAACTGTGGAGCCTGACTACCCATATTTATTTAAAATATGCATAGCCTATGAGCCTAGAAGAGTACTCACACTGGGACTTCCTTTTTCCCCATGGTGTACGTACACACACACACACACACACACACACACACACACACACACCCTATTTGTTCATGATTAGGTCTTCAGATATAGGGAGGAAAAAAAAAACGGAAAGCTTAATTTTCATGCCGCACTAGCTGGCAGGAGAGGTGGATTTGAAATGATGAGCAGTAGTGGACGTCCTGGTCCCAAGGGATGCTGGGGAGGCAGGAGGTGGATGACTGCCTGGATGCAGGGGAGGCTGGGAGGTGGATGACTTACAGGGGATGCTGGGGAGGCGGGGAGGTGGATGACTGCCTGGATGCAGGGGAGGCTGGGAGGTGGATGACTGACAGGGGATGCTGAGGAGGCGGGGAGGTGGATGACTGCCTGGATGCAGGGGAGGCTGGGAGGTGGATGACTGACAGGGGATGCTGGGGAGGCGGGGAGGTGGATGACTGCCTGGATGCAGGGGAGGCTGGGAGGTGGATGACTGACAGGGGATGCTGGGGAGGCGGGGAGGTGGATGACTGCCTGGATGCAGGGGAGGCTGGGAGGTGGATGACTGACAGGGGATGCTGGGGAGGCGGGGAGGTGGATGACTGCCTGGATGCAGGGGAGGCTGGGAGGTGGAGAGAGGCGGCAGTCTGTCTCAGAAGCCCTGTGCTTTCCAGTATAGCAACATGACAAGTGCGACAGAGCAAGCACACGTCAAGGAATTTAGAGCGGGTGTGCAGGTGGAAGGCCCAGACCCAGCAGAAGCTTCAGGGAGTCCGGCCCAGCTCGGGGGGCGGGGGTTGGAGGAGAGGAAGAAAGGGGGGGCCCCCCCAGCAGAGTTCGCGCACGCGCACCACGCCCACCGCGCCCCAGGCCTACTCGCCTGCGCACGCGCGCCAGGCTGGCACGCGCGCCACGCCCGCCCGCTCGCCTGCGCACGTGTTCCGTGCCCCGCACGCGCATCACGCAGGCCCACTCGTCCGCGCACGCACGCACTCCCGCACGCGCGCCGCGCCCGCCCAGTTGCCTGCGCACGCGCACCACACCCGTTCGCGCGCCCGTCTCGGTGGAAGCTTTTTGCCTGGCTGAGTTAAGCGTCTTCCACCATGGCGGAGATGGCAGAGCTTTGCGAGCTGTACGAAGAAAGCAACGAGCTGCAGATGGACGAGCTGCCCGGCGAGGGCGATATGGAGGTAGGCCGCGGGGCCCGCGGGCCGGCCCCGGAGGAGGGCCCCATGGAGGAGGAGGCCGCGCCGTTAGCCGCCCGCGCTCAGCGCGGCCTGTTCCCCGAGGCTGGCGCAGACCTGGAGGGCGACGAGTTTGATGACTGGGAGGACGACTACGACTTCCCAGAAGAGGAGCGCTGGAGCGGCGCGATGCACAGGGTGTCTGCCGCGCTGGAGGAAGCCAACAAGGTGTTCCTGAGAACGGCGCGAGCCGGAGATGCCCTGGATGGCGGCTTTCAGGCGCGCTGCGAGAAGAGCCCTTTCGACCAGCTAGCCTTTATCGAAGAGCTGTTTTCGCTGATGGTTGTCAATCGACTGACCGAAGAGCTCGGTTGTGATGAGATCATTGATCGAGAGTAAATGCTGACGAAAGAGGAAACTACCTGAGAGGGAGAGATTCAACATTCTGCTATTTTTGGGTTCATTCCAGCTAGTTTTGTGCAAAACAAAAAACAAAAACGGTTTTTGTTTCTCGGAATAGAAGACAAAACAGTGAGTGACCGTGCAGTCGTGGAAGAGGAGAATCAAGGAAGGAGGGGCTCAGCAAAAAAAAAAAAAAAAGCTGGTTCAGACTGTTGAACGAGATGATTTTTCCCTGCGATGGAGAAGAACTTGCTCGTGTTAAGCCTGTAAAAATGGTTTCGCAAGAGAAAATCGTGACTGCCAATACAAGAATCTAATTAAAGAATGAGGAAAAATACATCCACAAGATATCTTTGATTTGAACTGAAAACCTGTTGAGAAAACTTTCCAAATTCTATTTTGTGGTTTATATAAATCAGTTATCAAAAGCTAAATTTGAGATGTAAGATTGAATACTTATCCACCCCAAAGAAAAAGCAAAGGAAATATGTGTGTTAAGTGTAGGCGTGTTATCATGTGTACTATTAAAATGTGTTACAAAAGATGGAATTTTGACTGCACATGTATCTTCATGATTTATAAAGCTATGTGATCTGTAATTTGGAAAAATCCATTGTGATGATTTTTTAAAGTTAAATATATATAAAACCAACCAGATGTCTTTTTAAAGTTTCAAGTTCATGCATTAATATTTATGGGAAAGCCCAAAGACAAATTTTCTAATACCCTTTTATACTCGGGAACTTTTGCTTGCTGCTTTTTACCTTGACAGATGGTAAGACTATAGCTGAACTTCATATTGTAAGAGCTGTTTGTGAAAATTGTCAAGTAAAAGGAAACCCTGCCTGTACCTATAAAAGATTTTATGAGCTATTATGCTGTCAAATGTTGAAGGTTTTAAACCTGCTCAGAAGTCCACCTGGGTACCTGATATTCAAATGCTCTCTCTCCCTCTCTTCCTCTCTCCCTCCCTCTTTCTGATTAAGCTTGTTAGTCCCTATGCACCAGCATTGGCGATAATAAATTTTCCTGTTCTGTGTGTTTTGTTTTGTCTAATAGCTCTGCATACATTAACTCTAAGCAAGATTCTTTTACTATGTGTGTCACTGCATCCATCCTAAGATTTAAACAGCCAGTGCTTACAATGGTAAAATGAACGTTTTCAATTACCTGACTCACAGAGTGAAAGAATTGACCAGCCCATGGACACCCGCTCTGTGTATATGTTGCTGTGGGTTATTTGGTGAAGATGCTGAAGTTCCTTGAGTGGTAACTGCATCAAAGGTCATGCCAAGAAAAACTTTGCATTAGCACATCTTTTATGAATTAAAAATCTGAATGTTTGGTGCCATGATAGGAATATGGGACAGTAGGATAACTCCTCGGGATTTTTGGGGAGGGGGGGTGGTATTATTTGGGGGGCTGGGCAGGTGAGATGGCTCGGTGAGTAAAGGCTCTTTCTGACATATACCCAAGCCTCATGACCAGTTTGATCTCAGGAGCCCATGTGGTGGAGGGAGAGAAATAACTCCCCCCAAGACTTTAGAGTGTCATCTGAGTCAGCGCCCCCAGAGCACCTGTGTGTAATGTGCCCCAGCTGCATGTGGTCTCAGTCGGTGCTAAAGTACACGAAAGATGGGACGTTGACTGGCATGGGGACTCCTGTTTATGTGACACTGGGAGGCTGCCACCCATGTGAGGATGGGACCTTCTGGCAGTACAGCTGCAAACATCCCTGAGCAGCACCTCAGCCTCCCTTTTACTCACCCAGTAAGTCCAGCTCACTAGCTGGACTCGGAGCACTCACTGATTTCATTTATTGGTGTCTATTTGGGGTAAATAGTCCTTTGCTCACATCTCGCCTGGAAAAGTAATATAATATCCATATGTATTTATGTTTGGGTACCAAAGTATATCTTGAAAATTAGGAGGAGCCATGCATTGGTATTTTGCTTTTTTTTTAAAAAAAAACTTACATTTATGTGTGTATGGGGAGGGTGCCTGCCGCAGCAAGCAAAAGGTTAGCCTTCAGGAGTGGGTTCTCACCTGCCATGTGAGCCTGAGAATCAAACAGGTATCAGGCTTAGCAACCTGTCTCACCAGTTCATATCCCCTTACATTTCATAGCCTTTAGATAGTCTGTCATTTTCTCATGCTATGTCCATGAGGACTCTTCTCCACTGGCTTCATCCCTTGAACATTTTAACTTTTCGTGGTATATAGGAAGTAAGTCTCAGAGAAACTTACGTGATTCCAGAGGCCCCTGCTCAAGACGGTGCAAGCAGTAACAGTGGGCAGAGGAGTCTAAACAGCCCAGCTAGGGCTAGTGCAGGGAGCCGTGGAGATGCAGCTTTTTTGAGTCCTCATTCATGCTGGATAGGCTTTTTTTTTTTCACTGATACAGCTGCCATTGAGGTCATCCATGCACCTACAAGCAAACCCTCACCCATTGTCCTATAAGTAGGCTCAATGCACTTAACCTCTCACTAGGCAGATCTGGGTAGAATTGGTTGGTCTGTCATTGGTACCTTGCTGGAGCCAACATGTTTGTTGACATCTCTCCAGCAAAAGTCACACAACACACCTCTAACTGCAGTGGTTAAAGAAGGATAGTGGAGAGAGAGGACAGGCAGGGTGATGCCTCACCACCATGTGCAACACAACCCCATTGTTCACACTCCCCAGTTCACTTCAGTCTCCCTATGGAAAGGGCCATAAGAAAGCAATTATTAACTAGAGGTGGTGCATACACCCTTTACCCACACTCCGGAGGCAAAGACAGATCTCTGAGTTCAAGGCTAGCCTGGTCTATATAGCAGGTTCCAGGACAACATAGTCCCTATCTCAAAAACAAAAACCAAAAAAACAAAAACAAACAAACAAAAAAAAACCCCCAAGAACTGATTGTTAGATTTGTGGTCTCAAGGGCTTAAATGCTTTGCCATTTGCCAGTGAGATTGAGCCAATCCGTAAGTCCTTGGTAGACGTCACTCCCTATAGTAACATCCTCAGTTATTTATAGTAGACACAGCAACATCAGGCTCCAACATGTATAAGTAACCTGGCATGAGAATCTACATGTAGTTCTCATACTTATTTGGTCCATTGTAGGTGTGTTTTCTACATTTGTTGCAGTAGTGTGGGTCTCTTGTGAATAACATTGGCAGGAAAACCCAGGCAGATAATAGCATAATAAATTATGAAAGGAAAATGATGTCCACATTGTCACATCTTAGAAAGATTTTCTACTAAAAGACCTGACACTTTCTGCACAAATTTCAGTTAGCTACTTTTGTTTGGGACGATTCCCTGAGCCAAATGCCTCTGTCTTCAAGAATCCAGCTGTATCTATTTGCAAAAGTTCAGTCAATAAGATTGACATTCCCTCACAGGAAGGAGGGGCAGGGAGGGTCACAGGACTCTCAGCCAAGTCTCCAGTCACTCCTCCCTCCCAACCAGTTGAATGCATTTCTACCCGAATTGTATGTGTCTCAGAGAGGAGTTAAAACTCCATAAGGTGGGAAGGACTAGGGACCAGGCTCCATCTGCACAACCATAGGAGAGTCACCATCCATACTGGGTGCAGACTTCTCAGTGTGACTGTTTGAAGGCCATCCATTCTCCAGCCTATAACCCTTCACATATGCTTCATAAGTGAGACAAGGGCATTGGTTTCCCAGGGCAAACTTTGGGGAACTGTACGATTTGTCAGTGAGGCCTTATAAGGAGAGAAGTAAGTGCTGCCTAGCCCCCGACTCCTGGAGAAGATTCTCATAACACATTAACCTAACATGTTAATACCCCAACACCATCTTTGTTCCTTGTCCTATATATGACCCCAGTTCAATAACCATATCAGGGATATTACTTGGCAAACAATATTAGCTATGTCCTTTGTCTTTGGTTCTTTACACAGAACCAATCAGGGGCAATAAGAAGTTCTATAGGCAGTTAAATTAAATTCCCCAGCAATAGTTAATAACACTGTTAGAAACTCTAATTACCGAGTGCATAAATCTCAGTCAATTTTCCTCCTTGTGGCTTATTAAGTTGTAAGCACACTCTGACACTTTATTCCCTTACTAACCACAAACTTCCAGGAAAAAAATAATATGCTAAACTATAATCATTGGCTACATTACCTGTTGGTTGTCAAGGTTCATCAGTATGAGGCTGCACGTTGAAATCGTCAGTTTTATATTCATTCCTGAAAACTGAAGATTGCTTTTGCCAAGAACTGTTGACAGGAACTTAACAGGAGCCTTTAAAAAATAACAAAACACTGCTATAAGTTATGGATGGGTACCGTCTCCTCTCTGCTTTACTTTACATAAACCAAATGAGCTGGAATGGTTGTGTGGCATGTGTCCGAGCCCACAGCACCAACGCATGCGGCCTGAAACATCCTGACACAGATTAGAGGCGAGTCTATGCTAGGGACACTGCAGAATTTCACATACTACAGAGTTTCTGCTCTTAAGAAAACTAGTGGCTTGACTACAGAAGAGAAAAAGACATACTATTTTCAACTGTCATTACTCAGTGCATTGGAATCAAATTATATCTTTGTGTTGCATTATATTACAATGTTGGACTATGAAAGAAAAGTTGCTGTTTGAATCACTCACTTGAGTTTCATAAAGTGTAATTAGGTGAATTTTGGCTTCAGAGTAGGTCAAATTTTCAAAGAATTTCCGAAATGGTCCTAGACATACTTCTGCCACTTGGTACTAAATAATTATGTGAAGTGAGAATGTCACTTCACATAATTCTCACTTTAATCACAGAATAAGTTATTGATCATATCTGAAGAATGTTTGACATTCTATATCCTGCATTATCAAATATGCAGCCAAAATTTAACTATTTATATGAAAACAAATAAGCAATCCTTATTAGTATGCAAATTTGCTTTCACCATTAATAAATGTTGCATAAATCATATGTGTACCAATTTTTATTTTTTATTTATTATCATGGTATGTGTGTATACCAAATCATGTTTATGAATGTGGGCATGCGCATGTCAAAGCACATGGGTGGAAATAAAAGGACAACTTTCAGCAATTGGTTCTATATCTCCACCATGGGATCCAGAAAAGGAATTTAAGTCATTGGGTTTTTTTGTCACAAATGTTTTTACATTCTGAGCCATCTCTCCAGCCCAGAGAATTGTTTGAAAATAAATGTGTTTATGCCTTATTATCAATAAATGTTCGGTCTGTATACTCTATAACTAGGGTCATATAAACTCTCAGGTTGGTGACCTCCCCAGCTATCTAGCTCAGCCTGGAAAAGTCCAAATCCAAGACCTAACTTCCACTCTCAGAACACATACACACACACACACACACACACACACACACACACACACACACACACACACACACACCACATGGGGGGGAGAGGGCTGTGTGTGCTTGTAATCCCCACAATGGGGAGGGGGTATTAGAGACAGATCTCTAGGGCTCACAGGCCAGCTAGCCTACTTGACAAGTCCAAAGCCAGTGAAAGAGCCTGTCTCATAAATAAATAAATAAATAATAGATGTGGAGGGAGACTGAGCCTCCATAGCCACAAGCACACATTACACACACCCACATTCAAACATGCACACACACACTTAAATTTCTCAGACAAAAGGGGGCCATTAATACAAACATTAAAGAAGTCCAAGAATGACTACTTTTATACCATTTTGTCATAATTGAAGCGACATAAAACAAGAAGCTCTTGTAAATATTCACCTTTCTCTTTTTAATGGCTCCGTGGGCCCCAGGGACAGCATCACACAGGCGGCTTATTGCTTCCCTAAAGACAGAAACCATAGTCTTAACATCCTTCCTGTGGTCTGTAAGTGATTAAGAGCAACATTCAGGAAAGTATACAGAAAGGATATTGGTGGAGCTGACATGATGATTTTAGCTCAGTCCCTCACTACAAGGCTCTAAACTTTATTTTTTCTGCAGTTCAAACCCAGGAAGACTTAGCAGCATTACCAAAAAAACTGTCTTACAAGGAGTCCTACAATTCACTTCATTGATTTTTTTTTCATCCTTTGGATTTTCAGACTTATTTTATTGTGATGTTGATTTTTAACAATCAAGGGCAAACCATTTCCTTGGAATAAATCACAATTCTATCCTGAGCAAAATCCTCCCCATGGTGTTGTGAATAAAAGTCATACTAGTTCACCACAAAAGACAATTAAATATGAATGAATCTGATGGTAAAGGAAATGTCTGAGGGAAGGGAAAAGCATTGAGCTTCAAGGTGGCCTCAAATGGAGCCACACTGACTCAGCTACTGCTGCAAGCCATCGAACTCTCATGTAATTTCACAGAGCAGAAGAAAATCAATTTTAAGTTCTCCCCTTTGCTTACTGCAGACTGCACTTCCTGGGGAGCAGGCGGCACTGCTAATAAGTAAGAGCGTCTGGTTAATGGAGGAGGGGCAGGGGCAGGCACCTCCCCCCTGGAAGGGAGAACCGATGAGAAGCTTCTGCTACATACAGAGTTGAGCATTCATAACCAACCAGGCGTTCCCTCCACAAGAGGGACACCTAGCCTGTTCACAATGCAAAGGGAAAAGATCACTGTTAAAATTAGCAAACCGCATCTGTACGTACACACAATGATGTATTGCAGCTTTTAAATATATTTTATGACGGTTCAAAGGAAGGAGGTGCCACCAGAGCAGAGACTGCAGCCATGCTTCTGAAAAGCCAGTCGGGAGAGGTTGGAGCTCTAAAGAATGTTTTGCAGAAATAAGAAGAATTTCCAAAGATCCTGGGCATCGCTTCTATATAAAGTGTTTCGGCTCAGAAGCTCTGGTTTTCTCTGAATAAATGAAAATTTCTCCCAAGGCATTATCTTCTCCTTTCGAATAAATACTTGTATTTATAACTTGCCAAAGGAAAGAACTGCTCTTTGGTTTAGTATTCTCTTGGGAGGGTGTATTTATTGTTCCTCCAATACTCCAACCTTTGTTTTCTGGAATTAACTGAAGGATGAAGCAGAGAGTTGGGCTTTCTTGCTTGGTTGTTTATTTAATATTTTAGTCATCTAAATGATTATTTGAATTGATGAGATTTTTATGATTGATCCAAGTTGACCTCTGGTACCACCAAAATAACTCATCAAGGCTCCTCTCTGTATTGATAGAATTCAACAGAATATTATAAGAAACAAAAGGCTGTCTACTCCTGGGGAGCCAAAGGGAGTGCTGAATAAGTGGTTTGAAATAACAATAGAAAAGGTGATGAAGGTTGATGCTGCCACATGCAACAATTGCTAAATAGTGTTACAAATTGCTGCTTTTATATAGTTCCTTGTATTTTCACAAAGGGCTTCCCCAAGCACTCTGATTCTGATATATCAGCTGTCAGTGTCTTCTAATGAATTAGCACTATGAGTCTGACTTGAAGGGAATTATCCTTCTCAGAAAGTGAACCACCTGGCAGAGCGGGATTGGGATCACAGACACAGAAGTATGAGCAAGGACAAGAAGACATCCAGTACTGGAGGAAGGGAGCTCAAGCATGTGACACCACTGGAGCCCAGTGAGGGCAGCTAAGAGACAGATTACCAGTTAAAGACTGGAGGCAAATGGGAGTGTTTAGTTCCAACAAAAAGCAGCTTGAGACAACATATAAACAAGTGTGCCAAAACAACTTTATTTTTAGGAATAAGGGCTGGCCAGAACTGGCTGATGGGCCATAGTATGCCATCCCTCAATTAAATTACTTACACAATGATATAAAAACTTAGTCTTAAAAAGCAAAGCTGGGTATGGTAGCTTCATATCCTTCCACTCAGGAGACTAAATCTGGAAGAGCTTCAGTTCTAGGCCAGTCTGAGCTACATAGTAAGACACTGTCTCAAATAAAAAAGAAAAGAAAATGTGAAACTTTTCATATTTGCCATGCTTTTTTTTGTGTGTGTGTTTTTGGAGACAGGGTTTCTCTGTATTGTTTTGGAGGCTGTCCTGGAACTCATTCTGTAGACCAGGCTGGCCTCGAGCTCACAGAGATCCGCCTGCCTCTGCCTCCCGAGTGCTGGGATTAAAGGTGTGTGCCACCAACGCCCGGCTTTCATCATGCTTTTAAAACTGAAAAATTTTAAAACTATAAGATACCTAATGCACATTTAAATTAGAAGAAAAGAAAAGAAAAAATTAAGTTTTAGGAAAAGCAGGAAATACTAATTCAAATGTATTTATCCATTGTTAGGGACCTTCCAAATTATTCTAAGGGGTAAAGTGGTAAAATTTGACAAATATTGGGCCTGTGAGGCGACTCAGTTAGTAAAGGCATTTCTGCGAAGCCTTGCAATCTGAATTTGATTCCTGAAACCCACATAGTAGAAGCAGAGAACTGACCCTTACAAGTTGTTCTCTGACCTCCACAAGCACACCATGGCATGCATGCCCACACACATATACATAATAGATTAATAAATGAAAATGTAAAACATTTTAAAATAACAAATATAAAGTTTACCAAGAGTCTGATGGGAGAGAATGTGATTAAAATAGTTGGATACTGTGTACATAACAGATATCCTTTAATTTTAGAGTAAAAATATTGGCCCACAACAAAGTGGTAGATAAAATGTAAAAGCTAGATACTGGTATTTGGGGTGTTAGGTACTCAAACTACAGAGGTACTAGGGGGAGAATCATACAGAGCAATGGGAAAGGGTAGACGCTCCGATGTGACATGCTGGTTACAAACAACACTACAGAAAGTGCTTATGAAGGTATGTGACTGTGCTTCTAGGCTGTGAGTCCAGCACTTGGTCACTGAGACAGAGATTGGGAATTCACAGCCAGCCTAGGCTACATAGCAACATTGTCTCCAAAACCCAAACAAACTTATAAACACTAACTTGGGTTATTTATTGGCATGTGCGACTTATGGTTTATTTTATTTTTATGGGCATGTGTGTGCCTGAGTGTGCGTATGCATACCACATATGTCCACAAGAAGACCTCAGATCCCCTGGAAATGGAGATACAGGCTGTTGTGAACCACCATGTGGGTGCTGGGAACTAAACCTAGATCTTCTGAAAAAGCAGACGTGCTCTTGGCCAGTTGGGTTGTCTCTCTAGCTCTGGATTATTTCTTGTTTCTGATTCTATTGTAGTTAAATGGAAGCCGAATAAATAATGTTTTACTTCCACTTGAAGTTGGTTGGATAAACAATCTTCTAAAAATATTTTTGGTGGTTATTTGCTTTGTTTGGGTTCTGTTGTTTTTTGATACAGGGTTTCATGGTATAGTTCAGTCCGGCCCTGAATTCCTGATACTCCAGCAATGCTAGAGTTAATGAACTGACTCCCTTGACCAGGATAGCTTTGTTGTCCCCTCTCTGACCTGGCTTCTGTGTACTTCAACTTCATTCTAGCCGATACCATTCCATGGCAAGTATTT